ATAAGAATAATAGACAATAAATGAGAGTATGTTATTGGGATTGTAAGGTTTGTAACGATATCTTATTGTGATATTTGCTTTAACAAACCGAGGATGCTTCTTAGTAATTACTTCATTATTAAAATATCACATAACATAGATTCAACAATTTAATATTCAATAAATTATCTTTCTTTGTATGTAAAGATAGATAAAATATTAAAATATAAAAGTTTTACGTTAATTTGTGTGTGAAATCATTTTAAGTTAACTTAAGAAATTCACCGAACGAATACGGGAAATCGTCTGGAGTTGCTGATTCGCCCGATCGAAAAAGGGTTAATTCGAACTGGGTCCCTTCTATTCATCTGGCCAGTCAATTCGATTGAAAATATTTCAACGCGAAAACGCTCGAATTTCTGCGAAATGTGCATTCGTAATCCGGCGTAGACGTGAATCCGCCATAAATTTGGATAAACGTCGTCCTCCTCTCCCTGTCTATCGTTCACCGTAATTTCAATAATCGCTTCGATACGATGTACACACGCGACACAGCTTTCTCTTCTTCTTTTTTTCTTCTCTTTTCTCTCTCCTTTTATCAACAACGTAGGTTGAGTCATGAATTGATTTAAAAAAATCGAATGATAAGTCGTGCGTTCTCATCATTGTATTGATTCGTTTCGCATGGCGTGATCGATAAACACTTTTCTTCGAAATTTTTTGTAACATAAATTAATTATAATAACACAATATTTTATGGTAATATAAATTAATAAGATAATTTTAAAATTTGGAGACATCGTTGGAAATTATTTATTTTCTACATAAGTTTAAATATATCTTCTAATATTCAGTTATTCACAGAAATTATGTTTGTAATAGTAAGAATTTTCTTGAAGAATCCAAAATTTCTATTCTTTTTTTTTTTTTTTTGCCATTTAAATATTTTATCTTCGTATCTCCTTCGCTAATTTATCGATTCATTAAGATTAAGAAAAACTACTATTTAAAAAATTCCTTTTTTCAATTATTCTGCATTCGAGGAAAAAATACATCGTGTGTTCTATTATAAATTTCGTACGTATGTATGATAAATACTCTCGATTCCACAAAAGCGTGCCTATATACGTATAATTATCCTGAATTATAATAAACCGGAAATTTGTAAATTCTGACGCCGTTTTCAAGAAACTCCCGCATATTTCGTTAATGCGTGTGTATTCGTGTTAAGCTCGTACAATGCGTCGTAGAGACCAAGTATTAGAAGTTGGAAATTTGGAAGAGATTATAACGAATTAAACGAGAAGGAAGTTCGCTCGAGAGGGATGCTCTATTTATCCATGAAGAAACATCGTTCTATGAAACTGTTATTTCGCAACAGTCAGTGAAACGAATTTTAATTCAAATGTCGATTCATTTGGAACGTTCGATAAAGAAAAGAATGTTAATTGTCGAGTTCGACGATAACGAGTTGAGTTCAATATTAACTTATCTAATCTTGATTAATTTATAATTTTCTAATTCTCGATTTCTTTTCAATATTATGAACGTAAAAAAAGGATTTCAAATTGCGTAATATTCAAATCCAAATTACATTTTTGGAATTTAATATTTAAATTTTAAACAGAATCAGAATTTTTTAATAGAATGTCAATTTGGATTTGTATTACGACGAAGATAACTTGATATATTTTTAAAAGAATTATCCATTACAATGTATCTAAAGAATTGCACATTGTAATGTGTCGTAAGAAGAATATTAACTCGTTTCGGATACTAGAAATTCGTGATCTATATTTAATTCTTTTTATATTTACATTGCCCAGTAACTATTGAATTTCTTTCTCCACAAGAAGAGAACACCGTATTTATTACTGCACCTAACATACAAAATAAAGAAATCTTATACTAAATAATATAATATTAGAGCATTAACACTATCAATCTTAATCGAACGAAGATGATCCAAAATAAAATCCGTTGAAAATCTAATCTATATAATTCGATCAACGAAATTCATTCCCCGTGAATCAATTATTCGCCACGAATCAATCTTCGAGCTCCAGACTTTACATATCCAATAAATCTCGCGGATAGAAATATGTTCTTCCGCCACTCCCGGCTGATGAAACGTCCCCAAACGTCGAGAGGGATAATTATAACTAAATTCCGTGTGTAGAACAAAATTGAAACAACACGAAGTGTTTCGTTCACGAAACGTGTGAGTAAAGCACGATTAATCAAGATAGCCCTCGTTCTATCAGTCGGAGGAAAGCGCACACCGGCCAGGATGGAAATTTAAATGGTAATTTTCAGCCGGATTACACGTTATGGAATTATCCTTGGCCTCACTTTCATCCCCCTGGCCATACTAATGCTGCCTTATTTTCATTGCGTTCGTTCGCCCGTGTCATAAATAATGCACGTTACTTCCTTTGCGAGCCGCATGCGTCGCATTTATAATACACCTGAGATAGACACGTGTGTATGTGCCTTAACTCTCCCCTCTCCCCCACCGTATATTCGGCCGGGTACGGCCATCATATAATTTTAACGCCACCGCCTGGCCTTTTACGTTTACGAGAGTCGTTTGGCGTTGCATTAATTCTCGCGTACGTTACGCCACGTTTCGAAACACGTGTCTGTATTCTGAAACTAGGGACGTTCCGGTGTATGCGCCACTTCGTATTACCCTCAGGCTGAATCGATACATAAAACTATATTCTACGCCAAATTATACGCATGCATAAAATGTATTCGTCAATTTCTCTCTTCTTTTTGTTTATATATATATATATTGTATTCCTCCCATTTATTTCTTTTCTTTAATAGCCAATAAGACAGAAATTGTTAAGCTCTGGAAACATTCGATGATTATCTATTATATAAAAGACAGTTTTAATCTTTTACTTTCGATCTTAGTTACATTTTATCAAGAATATACCGTAATGGAAAGAATTTTTTACGAGTTAATCAGTTAATCAGAGTTGTCTTTTAGTTCTCGAGACATGCAAAAAAATTGTTGTTGTAATTAGAAGTATCAACAATATATGACCACTATTTAAAAATGCACAATTGGTGGAATGGATCAAAAACATTTCTTTATAGATTTCGTGCTTGAAATATATCAATCTCAAGATACATATGCAAGGTATTTATAAAAATGTGGGACACCTTTGGAGAGTGGATTCTAAATATCAAAACGATAAAAAAAGTTCATATATAGATATGTCCGATAAAGTTTAATTAACGAGTTATAAGCATTTTTATATCATTTTCAAGTTTATGTTGATAAGCAAGATAAAGCGAGACGGCAAAAGAGCATGAAAGTGCACGGCAGTACCGTATTGCTTACGTATCGAAGCCCCTCGATGAAAGTAAATATACTTGATACTTTTTATTCAAGTGAATTTTGATATAAGATAATATACAATATTAATTAAGTCTTATTTTTATAAACACCCTGTATATATATTGGATATTTCATGGATTCTTTGAAATTTCTCAAATATTGATATCGATATCGATATTGATAGTGATATTACTATCATTGTAACTTTGGATATTGTAATTCCGATAGTAAAATATTATTTTATATTTTATTTTCGCAAATCTGAAAGAACTATCTTCTTTTATAAATATCTCGAAAACTGTAAGACACTGTTTAAGTTAATGAAAAAATCAACTCAAAACAATGCTCTCTACTTCAAAACATATATTAAAATCAAAATTATGCATGATTAACTGAAATCAGTTAAAAAGTTATACTTGCACAGATTTGGAAAAAGAACAATTCATAAACTACATTGTTTAACATGAAATTAATCACCATCACTATCAAATTGATCTTACTACGCTTCTAATTGATTTAAACTAATTAATCTCATTTAATCATTATCATAATATTCACGAAAGAACGAACCCAGAATAAAGACGACGTGCTCTCAACCAAGAAATACGGCGGATAAACATAATATACGCTATGCCAAACTGTGTTCATTCAATAAATCGCCTCTGTGTATCTTTCTTCCGTATTTTCTCCTCTCTTTGTCCCTCCACTTCCCCATTTTTTTCCCCCCAGTCTTTATTACACGCGACAAGATTTGGATGTGTTCGCGCGCGTGTACACGCAAAGCAACGATCCAGCAAGCAACGTAGGAAAAATAGGCGAAAACGATGAAAAAAAAAAAAAAATGATACGTTTTACCAGCCACAAATGGAACACCATTTGTCGTCGTTTCAATTGTTTTATTTCCGGGCAGGGGGTTTTATTTACTGCGGAGTAATCGAAATTGCGGTTGGCCGTGGTAAAAATTATATAGAGACCGCGGGGGCGAGCCGGAAGCTGTCGCGTCTACCTAACGGGAGGGTGAAATGTTGCGTGGATAAATCGGTGCTCGGTCCAGGGGTCAAATATTATTTTTATCGTTGCTTGTTTCACGATTAGAAATCGAGCGTGAAATCCGCACATCGAGAAGGAATTAAAAACGATGAGCGTATAATGAAGTATCGTGAAAATGGATCAAGGATGATATTCGTGGATCTATGAAAGTTGTATGATGTAAAATAGTAATGATTGGGAATAGGATTGCGGAATTTTTATGCAAAATCAAATTTTTATGAAATGTAGCTTAAATAGAAATTTGGTTTATTCCTCGAGCGTCATAATAAATACTATATTTTGCGTTTTTTTTTTCATTCTGTAGATTTTTGCGTTCTAATTTGTTCTAATTTTGTATAATCTAATAATTTGATTTACTATAAATTGTTGGACAGTTTCTTTATAGTGTTTTGAAAAATATCTTGTGTCATTTATACTACATTTTTTCATGCTTTCAACAAAAATTAATTTAAAATTAAAAAATAAAACATAGCGTACACAAGATTAAAAATATAAATCGCATTTACGTTAATTAAAATGAATCATTAAGGAATGTTTAAAATACGACACAGGAAGGATGATTGAAAAAGATAGCAATGAAAAAATAATAAGAAATAACTAAAACTTTTGAAATAAAAACACACTTTTGAAAAAAGTCGAGAAAATAATTTTGAATCAAAGACAGGGAAGGGGAAACAGGAGAAAAGATAGGGAAAAAAGACGTAATCAAAGTTTATCGATTCATAATCTACCACGAATCATCTTAGAGAACGTAATCAGTGTACTATTTTAATAAATAAATAACGATATCAAACTTAAGAAATATCAGTTCAGTTCGATAATTGAAAATAGAAAATAGAAAATTGTTCCGTATAATAACATGTGGCATATATTGTTGTTACTCTTTACGCTCCAATACACAATGTGCTATTTTCAACCCAGAATTATAGGAGGACATTCGTGTATCAACGAATATTGGTATCAGGTAAATTAATCATAGATTTACGCGACTTTGTCGTCAAATACGCCTCCGATATAATGTCGAAATATAACGAGCGAAGCAAATATTTCTCTATAATAGGCGTCTATTCATCATATGGGAAAGCATCATTGCGGAGGGTCCATTATAAGCGAAAAGTGGCTGCTAACAGCAGCACATTGTGTTTACGGGTACGTGTGGTTACGAATCGACGAAACCGTAAAGCGTGAATCGAGTAAGATAGATTTATTAATTATCGTTCGAGTGATTGATAGAAATTATTTTTCAGTTTTTCTACCGAATTTAAAATTCATGTAGGCAGTGCTTACAACAATGATGGCGTTGAATACGATATCAAAAATATAATTTGGCACGAGAATTACAATAAATATACGTATAATTACGACGCCGCCTTAATAATGGTACGTTTTTTTTATGTATCTTTACTTTTATGTATTTATTTTATATTTCGAATCTTTATGACAACAATTTTGCAATAATCGTTTCTTAAATTTAAGATTTTTTAATTTACTCTTAATTTTTTTTTTCTTTTTTTTTTTTTTTTTTTTTTTTTTTTTTTTTTTTTTTTTA